GGGAGGGTACCTGAGGGGGTGTTTTGTGCCCTGGGGAGGGAAGGTATCTAAGGGGGTGTTGTGTCCACTGGGAAGGGAGGGTACCTGAGGGAGTGTAGCGTACCCTGGGGAGGGAGGGTACCTGAGAGGGTGTTGTGTCCCCTAGGAAGGGAGGGTATCTGAGGGCGTGCTGATTTCCCTGGGTAGGGCGGTTGTCTGTGTCCCCTCGGGAATGTTCAAGGCCCCTTCCCGAGGTTGTATGAGCAGGAGTCTGGGCAGCCCCAGGAGGGGACGGGACTGCTGGGCATGTGGGGTGGATTCTGAGACGCCTGTAGAAATCTAGGGAAGGAAGAGTCACCTTCTCCTCACTTCCTTCCCTGTAGCGCTGTTGCTCCTTCAAGCCAGCAAAGGGAGCAGCAAGAGGGGAAGCCGAGAGGCCCGGTCTCCGTGTTGGCTGCCTGCAGCATCCCACCTGGATGCTTGTAATTCCAGTGCCATATCTGCACAACAGGTGCCCTCAATGGGGCCTATTCCTCACAGAACCACACTCGAGTTCCCTGCTGCTGTTCTGGTCTAGGTTATACCTGGCAATAAAGCGGCTAATGAGTGAGACAGCAAGAACCAGGCACCTGGCTAAAAAAATACACCTCTTCCTCGATATAACGCTGTCCTCGGGAGCCAAAAAATCTTACCGCGTTATAGATGAAACCGCGTTATATCCGCTGGAGTGCGCAGCCCCCCTGGAGCACTGCTTTACTGTGTTATATCAGAATTCGTGTTATATCGGGTCGCGTTATATCGGGGTAGAGGTGTAGATGTCCTTCGGAAAGGCAGCATGATCCAGTGGATAGAGTGCTAGATCGGTCTGTTCCGAGCTCGGCCACTGGGCTGCTGTGAGATCTTGGACACTTCACTTCTCTGTGCTTTTGCATCCCTTCCTTCACCTTGCCTAATTAGGCTATAGGTGCTACAGAGCAAGGACCATAGCCTAGTATATGTTTCTACCGAGCCTACCAAAATACAGTCCTGATCCAAACAGGGGCCTTTAAATCAGCGTGGCTAGTTCTAATGATTTGATTGTGAATCTTGGGATAGTTGATGTTCTTTCTTAAAGCCCCCAGCCCCTAGAATCAAATGATTACAGACACTCCCCGGGTTACGCAAAGACCCAACTTACGCAAATTCGCACTTACGGAAAAAGGTCCGTAAGCCAGAAATAGGATTTTCGAGTTGCGGAAATTTTTGCCTAACGTACGGGTATACATTTCTGACTTACTCAAAATTTGAGTTTCGCAAGGCTTTCCGGAACAGAATGCTTGTGTAAGTCAGGGGGTGTCTGTATATGAGAATCTCAGCTTTTCTTAAACAAAAACAAAACAAAAATCAAGTTTCTAGCCCACATAGTGGCTTGGAAAGCTTGACAATGTGACCTGAGTGCACCCTACAGTTGCAAACAACTCAAATGAATACAATGGGTTAACTTTATTAAAGGCATGATGCACGCTCCCATACCATAAACTCAGGAAACTTCAACTGCAGCTACATTGCAGAGACGGTACGGTTGATAATGCAACACAAAATTCTTGTGTTCAGGGATGTTTGGGTTTTTTTGGTCTCTAATAAAGTCACAACAAAAAAAAGTGAATGGGGTAATTAGCTAGTTCCATGAGACATTTAAACCTAAAGACCTGTCTTGACTGGCATGACTAGTTATTGTAATGAAATAAGAACACACCTAACCTAGTATCCTGTCTGCAACAGTGACCAGTACCAGCGCTTCGGGGGAGCGTACAGAACAGATGTGGACAGATCCACCGCTTTCTTTTTCCCCTCCCAGCTGCTGGCAGCCAGAGGTTTAGGATTGCCCCGAGCATGGAATTACATCCCTGACCATCTTGGCTAAAAGCCATTGATGGACTTATCCTCCATTAACTTCTTTAGCTCTTTGTTGAACCCAGTTACACGTTTGGCCATCTCCTGGCAACACGTTCCACAGGTTAATTGTGCATTGGGTGAAAAAGTATTTGCTCTTCTTTGCGTTAAACCTTCTGCCTATGAATTTCCCTGGGTGACTGAGTTTTTGTATTGTGGGAAAAAGCAAATAACACCCCTCTATTCACTTTTCCCACACCATTCATGATTTTATAGTCTATCGTATCCCCCCCTTAAACAGGGACAGAGCATGATCTTCCTTAGCTCTGGCAGAGACCTCAGAATCAAGGAAACAATTCTCGCTCCGCGGGGCCAGTTTTTTAATACTTTCTAACGCTTTGGTGGAGGCGCTGTGGTATTGCATTGGTGTCAATGAGATCAATACCAGCCCCATTACTATCTCAAGCATCTGAACCCAAAGGTAGAATAAGTGTAGTACTCACAGTAACCTAAAGATATCTGAGCAATTTCTAGCTGCACTCTGGCTTCTTTTATGGCAACCAGCTACCAGGGATAGTCAAGCACACAGGGCTGGCTCCAGGCACCAGCGTTCCAAGCAGGTGCTTGGGGCGGCAATCTGCAAGGGGCGGCAGTCCATGTGTTTCTGCCCCCAAGCAGCGCGCCGAATTGCCGCCGCAGGGGCAGTCCGTGTGCCGTTAGGGCGGCACGCGCGTTTCCACGGCGGTGGCAATTCGGCGGCAGCTTCTATGTTCAGTTGCCCGCGGCGGCAATTTGGCGGCTTCTGTCTTCCGGCTGAAGACAGAAGCTGCCGCTGAATTGCCGCCACTGCGGAAACGCGCATGTCGCCCTAACAGCACACGGACTGCCCCCGCCATCCGTGGCGGCAATTTGGCGCGCTGCTTGGGGCAGCAAAAACAGTAGAGCCGGCCCTGCAAGCACAGGTCTCTGTTCTTCATTACAATTCCCAGCCAATATTTTATTCATTCTTTCTTACACTACAGCCACGAAGCCCTCTGGGCCAAATGACATCACCCATGTTGTAGCAAAACCACAAAAGAACTGGGAAGACAAGGCATTCGCTGTACAAACTACAGAGCCACGTCAGGAACAAAAGAGGAAGAGCGTGGGAAAAATCTGCATCGGAGAACGACAGCAGCTAGACTTTTAGTGGTAGCTTCTCAGCTGGAGTCAGTAGCACAGCTCCTCTGAAGTTAAGAAAGCGACATCCATTGACACCAGCTGAAGAGGTGGGTGCTTGGATGAAAATGAATTCAGTTAGACTCAGGAAAATCGAGCGTCCCTCTGCTGAAGTCAACAGACCAGCACTTCGTGTGTGAGAGGAATTTGAAGCCCTCCTTGGTCCAGAATTTCAGCTGGTATAAATGTGTATAACTCCATTGAAGCCACTGTGCTGATTTACAACAGAAGTGTATCTGGTCCGTTGTCTGCTGCATGTGATATTAAAGGTGTACAGAGTAAGATCCCATTAAGTGTCATCATCACTTAAGCAAAGGAATTGCAGAGTGTCAAACGCCACCAGTCTGATTTGACAGCACTTTGCACACATATAAAGACAATACAAGATTCAAGAGTCCCTAAATATTTCTACCATAGACAATCTCTTTCAGCTTGGTTCTCCTCTCACTTGCCTCATGTTTATGCAGTGGCTTTAATGGAGTTACTCCTGATTTGCACCGGTGTAAGTGAGAAGAGACTGTAGTAACCATATTGCTTACATTTTGTGGTGAAACTAATTAATTCCCACCCTCTGCATGCTTTTAAACGAAGATTGTCAATGCAGTGTGTACTGAAATAACAGAGTCAACTCTTATGGGCCATGGCAGCATGCATTCTCTTGGAATGTTGGAAATAAATGGAAGCTACACCTCTACCCCGATATAACGCGACCCGATATAACACGAATTCGGATATAACGCGGTAAAGCAGCGCTCCGGGGGGGCGGGACTGCGCACTCCGGCGGATCAAAGCAACTTCGATATAAAGCAGTTTCACCTAAGATTTTTTGGCTCCCAAGGACAGCGTTATATGGGGGTAGAGGTGTATTTATTTTTGATCCAGCGTACCAGATTGAAAAAAGAGTGAGGAGAGGCCCAAGGCTGGGGAATGTATTGCAAAATTTAAAGTCATATTTTGGACATTTAATTTTGGGCAATTTTATGCCCTTCAAACTTCACTGTGTGGGTGTGAATTTCTGCATTCTAAAAAGCCAATTTTAAATCTGTCTGCATTTTTTTCTGTAGAAAGAAAGAAAGAAAGACTGATTGGAATTTTAGCCCATTTCTTTTTTTTAACAAAACTAGGACCATTTATGGATTCTTAACTAAGCGCGGGGGTTTTCAAAACAGCCTAGGGGGTTTAGGTGCCCAAATCCTATTCAGTGGGAGTTCAGCACCTTATTCGCTTGCGCTCATTTGAAAAATCCCAGCAGAAATTTAGAAAAACTTGATGTTCAAATGGTTTTGCCTTTGGGTGGGTGAAATTCACCTTCATGCAGACAGACAGCCCAAGGGCTATAGCAGGACTTAAGTCACGTGTAGGCATTAGCCTGTCCTCTGCACAGGGGTGAATTTCACCCTAGATCCTGCTCTTGGTGGCAACGCTCAATGGGGCAGAGTCAAGCCCTGGGCTATCTGCGGTGGGGTCATGCACTGTGATGTATCTTACTGGCATTTCATTCATCACTGCAGCATTTTGCAACCAGTTTGGCTGTCAGGAGACGATAAAACCTTTTTCTTTCTATGCCATTTATTTATTTTTTACTCATATTCCGGCAGTGATGGGCTTGGTTTTTGGAGCTTAGTTCCTGTCACTTCTTCTGCTGGAAGAGGTTGTTCTCAGAGAGTACGCTTTCATACCACCAGGGCTGCCTCCGGAGGAGAAGGAGAGGCCCCCGCTGCCCATTCCGCTTCCCAGGCCGATTCCTCCTCCAAAGCCATACCCACCCGCGCCGCTGTATCCGCCTCCAGCACTAGAATTGAGCACAGCTATGGAGCAAAAACAAAACCATCGTAAATGCCCAGGTTTGCAGATCCACTACAGTCAGCACCAGTCAGTTGTGCCCAGCTGGTGCAGAGAGAGGGCCTGATTCTCCATCGCCCTGCCCCCTGTGTCGTGATTCACACCAGTTCAAAGAGACTGCCAAGTGTGCAAAGGAGCCATTTTGTGTGTCCTTTGCACTCATTTTTGCACTGGTGTAAATCCCAACACAGGGTGCAGAACAATGGAGAATCAGGCCCAGAGGGTGCCATGGGAACAGCAGCACGATCTGGCCACAAGGCCCCAGTCCTGCCCACCCCTGTCCTCATGCAGATTCCCATTCACAATGGGACTCCCACAAGGAAGCAGGTTTCTTTTCCATGTTGGCTTTTGAAAAATAATTAAATTGCATATTATCAAATAAAAGAAATGAAACGAAAAGCCTGGAGCACCCACGGAATCAGCTCCTGTAGTCATACTCCTGCTAGCTCTCATCGGAGCTAGCACGCTACACACAGTAGTGGAGCCGCGGCAGCTCAGGCGGTGGGGTCAGGAAGGTTTCTACGTGGCGCTCCCCCGCCGGCGGGGCTGGAGCTGTGAGTGCCGGCTCGTCAGAAGCCCGGTCGGCTCCGCGCAGCGACCGGCATGTCCCTGCGGCCCCAAGGAGCAAGGGAAGCTCCGCCCACTGACCCCACCCACTGCACCGGCTTCGCAGCTCCCACTGGCCGGGAACCGCAGCCAATGGGAACTGCAGGAGCAGCGCCTGTGGGCACGGGCAGCACGCGCCGCGCAGAGCCTCCTGGCCCCTCCGCCTAGGGGCCGGACATGGCGGCTGCTGCTGGGAGCAGCGCAGAGCCAGGGCAGGCAGGGAGCCTGCCTTAGCCCCGCTGCGCTGCTGACTGTGAGCCACCTGAGGTAAGCGTCACCCGGCCAGAGCCCACACCCCAAACCCCCTGCCCCAGATCGGAACCCCCTCCCGTACCCTAACTCCCTCCCAGACCCCAGACCCCAACCCCCACCCGCACCCCAAACCCCCTGCCCCAGATCGGAACCCCCTCCCGCACCCAAACTCTCTCCAAGACCCCACCCCCCCACCCCTACCTGCACCCCAACCCTCTGCCCCAGCCCTGAGCCACCTCCCACACCCAAACTCCTTCCCAGAGCCCACACCCCAACCCTCCTCTTGCACCCCAACCCCCTGCCCCAGCCCTGAGCCCGCTCCCGCTCTCCAAACCACTTGGCCCCAGCCTGGAGCCCCCTCCTGCACCCCAAACTACTCATCCCCAGTCCCACACCAGCATCCCCAGCCGGAGCCCTCACCACCTCCTGCACACCAACCCCCTGCCCCAGCCTGGAACCCCCTCCCGCACTCTGAACCCCTAATTTCTGGCCCCACCCTGGACCTAGGGGAAGCCCCAAGCCTTCCCCCCGCCCCCAGGCAGGGCTGTGTGTGGCCTGTGACTGTTTTTTTCTGTGGGTCAGTGGCCCCTGATAGAAAAAGGGTTCCCCACCCCGGTCTATAGGATACTATTGGGGTCATCCTCATTCATTTTCTCTAGGGATACAATACAATAAAGTAAATGGCCTATGAACTTTGAATTGCATTTTCTCAAACCTCTCTAGGGAAGGAATTAATTGTAAAGCCAACTCACAGATGCTGACATTCCTGGCGTGGTCCCCAGCCAACCTGTTGATGGAGGAAAACAAAGGCAAGAAAGAAGAATATTGGTTAGACTTCTCATCAGATATGGTACCCAGAGGCTTCTGGCTTTGAAGATCAGCACAATGGGAATGCATTATGATTGCTGTTATAAATAATGAATATGAGACAGCTGTATCATCAGGTACTTTGTCCACTGCTAACAACGAACATGCTCCAGCCCTTCAGGACATGTGTTGTTAATGGCACATTAGTGGCACATCCTACTCCGACAGGAGCTGATGGAAGTAGATTTGGTTGAAAATTTTCCATCAACGTGTGTTATTTTTAATAGAAAACCGTTTTGTTGGGGTTTTATTTTTTGACAAAATGGATGTTTCCATGGAAAATGTCACTTTGGTCAAAACAATTTTTGAATTTTGGTTAAAAAAATGAAAAAATTTTCCCACGACCAATTATCTGTTTACACTGAATTTTTTTTTTTTTTGCCAGCAAGAGAAAACAGAACATGCTTTGAGCAGGGGGTTGGACTAGGTGACCTCCTGAGGTCCCTTCCAACCCTGATATTCTATTATTCTATGATTCTATGTTTCATTTTAAAAAATGAAACGTTTCGAAGAAAAATGCTGTCAAAACTAAAAAAAAAATATTCATTTTCATTGAAATTTTTCACAGGGAAAAACAATCAGCTCTAAATGGGATTTTTGCTATGGACGTCAATGGAAACGCAGCAGGGCATTGAAATCTGTTCTGGGCTCACGTGGGACTGATGTGGTGCATTCGCTTTTCCCTGCCTCTGGGGTTAACTTTTCTCCCACCTCCATGAATATTCCCATTCGACAGATGTACCTTTGCAGTAATGCCCCAATCCAGAGAGGAGCTGAGAACTTGCCTCTCCCATTGATGATGATGGTCATTGAACCCCCATCTCTCAGGATCAGGCCCTGTACGTCTTTTACCTTTATGGAGTAGTTTTAAAGCCCTAAATCCTGCTCCAGTTAAGACAGGGGTAAAACTCTCGTTGACTTCAAAGGAAGTAGGATTGAGCAAATGATACAGCAAATGATGCCTCATGGAAAACTCTGAACAACACAGGACCTCATTCCTTACTGCCTGGCTCTTGTCACCATTCACCCCCACGTGCAAAGCAGGTGTGAAATGCCACCATTCTGATGTGGGAGCATCACACATCTTCTTTGCACAGATGTAAATAACAGTTCAAAGAGGAGGACAACGGAGAAACGGGTCCTTCTTTCTAGAAACGATTTTGTATGCTGTACGCACCATGGGTCAGACCCTCTGGGGTAAGTTGGCCTAGTTCTGATGCACTATTCCAATGATTTTAGGCCTGTATATTGCACCCACCTGCTCTCTTCTCCCTCCAGCAGCTTCCTGTAGGTGGCGATCTCGATATCCAGCGCCAGCTTGACGTTCATCAGCTCTTGGTACTCCCGCAGCTGACGCGCCATGTCCTGCTTGGCTTTATTCAGGGCAGCCTCCAGCTCCTCCTGTTTTGCCATGGCGTCTTTGATGGCCCTCTCACCACGTTCCTCGGCCTCAGCAATGGCTGCCTCCAGCTTGGCGCGCTACAAGTGCACAACACAGGACTTGGTGTGTGTTTCAGCCCCTTGGTGTGGTATTTCTGTTCTACTATCTATCTATGCCATCCATGGTATACACCCATCCCTCTATGCCATCTATGGTATCCATCCAT